AGAAGAAGAAGAAGAAGAAGAAGAAGAAGAAGAAGAAGAAGAAGAAGAAGAAAAGATAATCAAAATAAACCCCTCAGAGTCCCCCCATTCAGCCTCCACCCCGCTAGTGTAATAAATTACCTATTATTAAAAAACAAAGAGCCACTATTTATAAATTCTGTCAAAAGATAAGTCAAGAACAAGAAGAGAAGCCAGTACAGGATCAGACAGTACAGTAGCCAATCACATCACACCTATTCATTACTAGTGCGCTTGCTATCACGCAATCGCTACACGCAGCCATCGAGCGCACAATCATGAGATTCCCTTAACTTTTCTGTTGTTTTTTCCCCCACCAAAATATTACATTGCCTTTACTGTCTAGTACACAGGTAACCCAGGCTATCCACATTTATGAAGAAGTGTCTGGAGTAAATAGATTTTGCTAAAGTTTTGTAGGTTTTGCTAAGATTTAGGAAATAAAACTTCGAGTATGTAAAAACCAGAAGTGTCTCTGCCGTTTCACATTAAATGTTTTCGATTTTAAGCGTTTTTTTTTTTAGCGATTTTAGGTACCCCTCCACTTCTCCTCCCTATATAATCTGAAGGTTGGAAACTTYGGCCGATTCCAACTCCAAGTCACTCTACTTAAACTCGATTTTTTCCACCAAAACGCGGTCTCTCCGAGATTTAGCGAAATGTGGAAGATTGATGCCTATGCCTTTTTATTTCAACCAGAGTCTGGCCTCTGCTTTTCGAGAAAGAGGTCGTGGTTTTGGAAGAGCCTTTGGCTCAATCTCGTACCCAGAGCCCTTATTTCTTACTGCGCATGCTCGACGAAATAATTGGGCTCCCAACTGACATCATTTTACTAGTATAATCTAAATCACCGTACTACAAAATAAAACGCTATTGAAAGAACTGCCATATTATGGTAAGAACTAGGCGTCTTAATTGATGAACACCTAATTGGAAAAACCACATTGATCTCTTGTGTAATAAAATTAGTGGGATTGTTGGGATATTATCAAGGCTGAGACATTTCTTGCCTACTGGTATTCTACTTAAAATGTATAAACCATTACTACATCCTTTACTTTTATATGGAATAAGCATTCGGGGCCAAGCAAATAAAAAGTATATAAACAAATTGTTAATTCTCCAAAAGCGAGCTCTCAGAGTGATTTTCTTTAAAAAATCAACTGAAAGTGCAATACTCTCTGTTTTTAGAAAATAACATCTTACCGGTTACTTGATGTTCGATGTTGTTGGTAAAATAGCACTTTGCATATTCGAAATATGTTTGTTAAATTAGATGTTATACATTCTTATAATACCAGATCTCGCACAGCTAAAAGATTGTATTGTAAATTTTCAAGACTTGAAATACAACAGCGTTCTCTTTCACGTGTTAGCGTAAATTTGTGGAATAAAATTCCAGGATATTTAAGAAACAGTACAAAAAATTCTTTCAAAAAAGAATTTAAAGATACTTTACTTAGGGATTTAAATTTAGACGGGTATTTTGTTGAAATCTCCAAGCTTAACTTTAATTGAATATTAGTGATATTTATATATACAATATATTATGATATTATTTAATTTGTATTATATGTCTGCATGTCCTGCCAAGGGCATTTGATATTTTTCTCTTATTCTCT